ATCAACTGCTCTGCCGCTGCCCATCAGTTCTATAATGGAACTGATCCAATCAGTCCTGGGGTAATGGTGGGATTTGATGATCTTAAAGGTCCTTTTCAACCTAAGTGATTCTATGATTCTGCATATATATGTATGTGGACTCTCTCTATATATAGGCTGTTTATACACAGTCTTCACATTAAAAACCACAAACCAAAATCTTGCTAGCGTATCAAATTAGGTGAGGCCCAATCCGACCTGACTTAGGCACTTACATAAAACACTGAAGATAGGATGTTGCCCTTGGCTCCTTCAATACAAGGAGAGGAAGGCTGAATTACCATTAATGGTGTTCCTTTGCTACAGAGAATATTGCAAAAGACTACGGGCAAGCAGACTTTCCACTTGGTGGTCTTCATCAACTGCCTGAAGAAAAGTGTGTTGAAATACACCCACCTACAACTGACCTTAGAGTGTAACAGTTTGTAGGGCTGGAATAGCAGAGACAAAACTACCCTAGTGTCCAGGATTACCTGTTCTGGGGCCTTTGCACCAAACTGTGCAAGACAGCAGCTTGCTTCAGCCCTGCGGCTTGGGGCATCTGTTGCCCTTGCAGTGCTGGATAGGGTCTATCGGGCTGTGTTAGTAAGTACTGAGACCACAGGCTGGGCACTAAGCCCACATGAGATGCTGCAGGGTAAACCTATGGGAACCATGTGGTGTGAAGCAGTTGCCAGAACAAGATGGAGAAGGGACGTACTCCTCATCCTCACCACTGCCACTGCACTGCCTACTGGTTCCCGTTGTGTCAGGCAGGGCACTAAGCTCCAGTCAACTCATTTGGCAGGATGAAGGAAATAGCAGGGAGTCTGAGGTTGGTGCTTGGATGTCACAGTGTGGGTCTCCAGGCGTTTGTCCTTTGGCTTTCTGCCCCCTCAGAGTATGTTCCACTCCCCAGCAGTGCTCCACATCAGTAGCCAACCTGAAGTACCTTGCCTTCTCACCTCCTATTCAAAGTCAGGTCAACTGCGCTGGTGGAGCAGGATGCATAGTGAATACAGAAGTATTCCAGGAAGATGCCAGTGGCTACCTCAGCTGCAGAAAATTTCTAAGTTAATTATCCATAAGTGTTTAATGGCTGAGGACCAAATGGATGCCACTGAAGTCAGTGGCAAAATTTGGAGGTGGGCTGTGATTTAACCCTGTGCTAGTGTGTAGCTGGGCTGATGGCTCCATCAGTGCTCCAGAAAGTCTTACGAATTGTGAGGAGGTGTTCAGCTTTCTCGTGCAACACAAATAGGAGTTTCTGGACACTATTTGAAACATCTCAGGAGACCTTTAGATTAATATCTAGGTTAAACTGGAGTGGGTGATCATGCTGTCCCCTGCTTTTTCTCCATCTCTCTGAAAAGTAGAGTGATTCATAATGGTGGATGGGCTTGTCACAGTTCCCCTGTGGGTTTTGGCAGCAGGGTTGTGCTAAGAGCTTATACCCACAAACATTTCGCACTTAAGAGCTGTGACTTCAGCAGGCTCTTTCGCAGCGCTAAGCTGTGATCTTGGCAATCTGTCTTCATAGACTTGTTCTCAAAGCTGTGTATAGTTGAGTAGCTTTATGCTCCTGGAAAACTGATTTATGAGCAGTAACGTTATGTTTGTTTATGTACAGAGTTTGTGACATGAAACAAAATACAACAAAATATTTTTCTTAGAGGCCACACAGAACAGCTCAGCTCTCAGTTTCCAAATAACACCCCAGATCACTTATTCTGTTGACAGCTGGTACATGCTGCTAATACACCAGTAGCTATTACACATTAGCAGCTACACATTGGCTGCCTCTAAGCTCTTTGGTGTGCTCTAATAAAGACCACTTCAAAGTACAAGGCAGATTTCTCCAGCATTAGACGGAGCTGGTGAAAGTTTGGCACTTGCCCAATGGCTTGGCCAAAGGAAGCTGGTGGTGTCAGTGGCCTGAAGCCCACATTAATGCTGAGTTTAGGATTAGGGCCTCTTGCTTGCAGTACTTCTGCAGCTCTGAAAAATCTTGTAGGAAATGCCTTGTCCCAGCAAGTGTCTCTGGGGTTCCCAAGCCCTCATAGAGCAAAATTAAGAGAAGCAACATGGTCAAGTTGGTTTTTTTGAGCTTGCTACTGGGTAACTCTGCAATTGCAGAGGCAAGTTGCAGAGTTTCCAGAAATTTGTCCAAAAAGCATTAGTATCTGTCCTGGGTTCAGCTACAGCAGTCATTTTTCTCCTTCTTAGTAGCTGGTGCAGTGCTGTGTTTTTGACTTTCAGTCTGGGAACAACGCTGATAACACCGATGTTTTTAGTTGTTGCTCAGTAATGTTTACTCTGACCAAGGACTTTCTCAGTCTCATGCTCTGCCAGAGAGGAGGGGAAGCCAGGAGGAAGCAGAGACAGGACACCTGACCCAAACTGGCCAAAGGGGTATTCCATACCACAGCACGTCATGCCCAGTATATGAACTGGGGGGAGTTACCCGGAAGGCCCAGATCGCTGCTCGGGGCGGGCTGGGGATTGGGCG